GCGTGAGTGGCACCACACTCCGGATCAGACAATGGTCCGAAGATCCAAGAGGGGCATCGACGGAAACCTGATATCCGTCCGGATGAGAGGTCAGCAGAAGGTCCAACAGGGAAGGTGTATGATCCTCAACATCTGGAATCCGCGTAGGCGATGTAACCAGTTGTGTCAGACCATATGCCAAGGCAAAGTCATAAACAGATCTCCCCGCATGATCGGTTAAACGTGAACCGAGCCATTCGGCGTGGTGGGCGTTAAAATCGCCAAGGATCACGATCTCTGCGGATGGGACCTGTTGTAGCAAGGAATCTGTAGCCATTTGGACGTGGTCGATGAGTCGGTCTGTTTTGGCATTACCGCTATGGGACCTATAGAGGCACACGTAGACGCGCGGATGGTCGTCGCTGTCTACGCGTAGCCAAAGGATGGACAGGTCCGAACCTTCAAGACTGCCGAGGCGTCGAGAACAGATGTCCTCTCTGACATACACGCAAACTCCAGCCCGAGGTACAAAGGAGTGCTCCAATTTGTACCCCGGGTAGGAGAGATACGAAGTATCAGCCGGAGAGGACACCTGCGTCTCGGTCAGAAAGAGCAAGGCCGGCTTCGCCGTCTCAAGATGGTAGTGGACGGCGTTTAGGTTCGAGTGAAGTCCCCTGATGTTGCAGAAATTCACGGATAACGTGGCAGGGGTCGCCTTGGTCTTGTTGCTCAGTTTGCCCCGAGCAGTTATTGTCTTGAGCGGAATTTTGCCCCCCCCCCAGAATACGCGGGGCAGCCTGAGCACCCACGCTCAGGAGTGGAATAGCATGGTCGTGGATGCTCAGCGAGGGATTCTCCAGGGGTACTGGTACCCTCCTGGGGTAGTTTATGACGTAATTCCGCTACCATGTTGTTGGGGGGGGGCGGGAATTGGGCATACGTGCGAATCTCTAATAATAGTTTGATCATTTTCGGCAGTCCAACCATCCAATACGTGCGAATCTCTAATTATAGTTTGATCATTTTCGGCAGTCCAACCCTCCAGTACGTGCGAATCAATAATAATAGTTGGATCAATTTCGGCTGTCCAATCCTCCAATACGTGCGAATCTCTAATAATAGTTTGATCATTTTCGGCAGTCCAACCCTCCAATACGTGCGAATCTCTAATAATAGTTTGATCATTTTCGGCAGCCCAACCCACCGATACGTGCGAATCTCTAATAATAGTTTGATCATTTTCGGCAGTCCAACCCACCGATACGTGCGAATCTCTAATAATAGTTTGATCATTTTCGGCAGTCCAACCCTCCAATACGTGCGAATCTCTAATAATAGTTTGATCATTTTCGGCAGTCCAATCCACCGATTCGTGCGAGTCTCTAATAATAGTTTGATCATTTTCGGCAGTCCAACCCTCCAATACGTGCGAATCTCTAATAATAGTTTGATCATTTTCGGCAGTCCAACCCACCGATTCGTGCGAGTCTCTAATAATAGTTTGATCATTTTCGGCAGTCCAACCCTCCAATACGTGCGAATCTCTAATAAAAGTTTGATCATTTTCGGCAGTTCAACCCTCCAATACGTGCGAATCTCTAATAATAGTTTGATCATTTTCGGCAGTCCAACCCTCCAATACGTGCGAATCTCTAATAATAGTTTGATCATTTTCGGCAGTCCAACCCACCGATACGTGCGAATCTCTAATAATAGTTTGATCATTTTCGGCAGTCCAACCCTCCAATACGTGCGAATCTCTAATAATAGTTTGATCATTTTCGGCTGTCCAACCCCCCAATACGTGCGAATCTCTAATAATAGTTTGATCATTTTCGGCAGTCCAACCCTACAATACGTGCGAACTCTAATAATAGTTGGATCATTTTCGGCAGTCCAACCCTCCAATACGTGCGAATCTAATAATAGTTTGATCATTTTCGGCAGTCCAACCCTCCAATACGTGCGAATCTCTAATAATAGTTTGATCATTTTCGGCAGTCCAACCCACCGATACGTGCGAATCTCTAATAATAGTTTGATCATTTTCGGCAGTCCAACCCTCCAATACGTGCGAATCTCTAATAATAGTTTGATCATTTTCGGCTGTCCAACCCCCCAATACGTGCGAATCTCTAATAATAGTTTGATCATTTTCGGCAGTCCAACCCTACAATACGTGCGAAACTCTAATAATAGTTGGATCATTTTCGGCAGTCCAACCCTCCAATACGTGCGAATCTAATAATAGTTTGATCATTTTCGGCAGTCCAACCCTCTAATACGTGCGAATCTCTAATAATAGTTGAATCATTTTCGGCAGTCCAACCCTCCAATACGTGCGAATCTCTAATAATGTTTGGTCATTTTCGGCAGTCCAACCTTCCAATACGTGCGAATCTCTAATAATAGTTTGATCATTTTCGGCAGTCCAACCCTCCAATACGTGCGAATCTCCAATAATAGTTTAATCATTTTCGGCAGTCCAAACCTACAATACGTGCGAATCTATAATAATAGTTGGATCTATTTCGGCAGTCCAACCCTCCAATACGTGCGAATCTCTAATAATAGTTGGATCATTTTCGGCAGTCCAACCCTCCAATACGTGCGAATCTCTAATAATAGTTGGATCATTTTCGGCAGTCCAACCCTCCAATACGTGCGAATCTCTAATAATAGTTTGATCATTTTCGGCAGTCCAACCCTCCAATACGTGCGAATCTCTAATAATAGTTTGATCATTTTCGGCAGTCCAACCCTCCAATACGTGCGAATCTCTAATAATAGTTTGATCATTTTCGGCAGTCCAACCCTACAATACGTGCGAAACTCTAATAATAGTTGGATCATTTTCGGCAGTCCAACCCTCCAATACGTGCGAATCTAATAATAGTTTGATCATTTTCGGCAGTCCAACCCTCCAATACGTGCGAATCTCTAATAATAGTTGGATCATTTTCGGCAGTCCAACCCTCCAATACGTGCGAATCTCTAATAATAGTATGGTCATTTTCGGCAGTCCAACCCTCCAATACGTGCGAATCTAATAATAGTTGGATCATTTTCGGCAGTCCAACCCTCCAATACGTGCGAATCTCTAATAATAGTTGGATCATTTTCGGCAGTCCAACCCTCCAATACGTGCGAATCTCTAATAATAGTTTGGTCATTTTCGGCAGTCCAACCTTCCAATACGTGCGAATCTCTAATAATAGTTTGATCATTTTCGGCAGTCCAACCCACCGATACGTGCGAATCTCCAATAATAGTTTGATCATTTTCGGCAGTCCAACCCTCCAATACGTGCGAATCTCTAATAATAGTTTGATCATTTTCGGCAGTCCAACCCTCCAATACGAGCGATTCTCTACTAATAGTTGGATCATTTTCGGCAGTCCAACCCTCCAGTACGTGCGAATCTCTAATAATAGTTAGATCATTTTCGGCAGTCCAACCCTCCAATACGTGCGAATCTATAATAATAGTTGGATCATTTTCGGCAGTCCAACCCTTCAATACGTGCGAATCTCTAATAATAGTTTGATCATTTTTGGCAGTCCGACCCTCTAGTACGTGCGAATCGTATGATAATAGTTGGATCAATTTCGGCAGTCCAACCCTCCAATACGTTTGAATCTCTAATAATAGTTTGATCATTTTCTGCAGTCCAACCCTTCAGTACGTGCGAATCTCTAATAATAGTTTGATCATTTTCGGCAGTCCAACCCTCTAATACGTGCGAATCTCTAATAATAGTTTGATCATTTTTGGCAGTCCGACCCTCTAGTACGTGCGAATCGTATGATAATAGTTGGATCAATTTCGGCAGTCCAACCCTCCAATACGTTTGAATCTCTAATAATAGTTTGATCATTTTCTGCAGTCCAACCCTTCAGTACGTGCGAATCTCTAATAATAGTTTGATCATTTTCGGCAGTCCAACCCTCCAGTACGTGCGAGTCTATAATAATAGTTTGATAATTTTCGGCAGTCCAACCCTGCAATACGTGCGAATCTCTAATAATAGTTGGATCATTTTCGGCAGTCCAACCCTCCAATACGTGCGAATGGCTAATAATAGTTGGATTATTTTCGACAGTCCAACCCTCCAATACGTGCGAATATCTAATAATAGTTTGATCATTTTCGGCAGTCCAACCCTCCAATCTAACTGTTCAAAACTTAAATAAAATTGTAAGCGGTTTAATAAAAAATTGCCAGAATTGTACAATAAACCATTTTACTTCTGTTTACTTTGGAAATTACATCTCAGTCTGTGGCAGACTTCAGATTAACATGCCTGGGTAAAAGTCCCTGTTTAAGGCTTTATTGTGTCTGGTCGTAAACTTTCCTTTAATATGGTCAGGGTGGGTCATGACTGCCACATGCGTTATATTTGTGAACAGGTGCTGCTTGTGAGGGTTGGTTTGCTTAAGCTTGCTAAGTACCTATAAGCTCCAAATTATAACATACATTTTTTAGTTTATCATAGAATGTGTTGCAGTTCAGTAAAAAAAAAGTTACTGACAAGTTTATTATTTTTCATTTTTATATATCATGTAATATAAACTGTAAAAAATTATAACAGAAGAGAATATCTCCGGAATTTTTTTAGTACAGTTTGTTCTCTGGAAGCTCATTTTAATCATTCAACATCCAGATAGTAGTAGATAAGATAGAGATAGTAAGTGGCTTTCTGTAACCCATGAAATCCTGCAAGCAACTTTAAACAGAGAAGACTACATATTATTCGGTTTTGCCTCTGAGGACTACCAATTTGAATACCTATTATTTTATATTGTCTCTTTAAAAACATTCAAAAAAGAACACAACTGTGTCTGCACTATAGCTTGCTGCAGAAATACATAAGGGTGTAACCTATTAGACAAATTAAGACAGAAAATGGCCCTAGTACGTAAGCTGTTGAGAGTAGGCAATAATTCTAAACTGACCATTTGGATGCTACATTACATCATCTATGTAACTTTCATATATATAATACATTTGTTGTATTCTAGATCACACAGCATGTGTGTGGAGCGTTGAGTGGGGAAAGTGTCTGCTACAGTATACAGGTCATTCGGGATCTGTCAACTCAATCCGTTTTCATCCAACAAGGGACATAGCTCTTACCAGCAGTGGTGATAACACTGCACATGTTTGGCAGGCTGCTGTTAACTGGGATCTACCGGTACTAAAACTTAGAAACTAAGCTAACACAAATTGTAATAGTTCTAGGATTCATCTCAATATGAATAAATTAGTATTTTTTTTATAGGATATCGTGACAAACGAGCACACAGTCCACCTGATGGTAAGTGGTTTCTGTGGCCCATAGACATCTACATCTATCCTCGTTTGCGAATCAAAATGCAGATGCGTTGTCACCCGTGAGGACTACGATGGAATGCCTCTTTTCCAGTAAAAAGGGTCTCCGGTTGTCTACACTCACCATACGAAACACAGCAGTGTTAAGCTGCTATTTTACGCTGGTATTCTGTGAGAGCGTGGTCCTTCCCCGGTCGAGCCGACCCATTTGTGCTACAACTATACTACTAATATAGCTGCAGCATGGCTCTACCACGTAAAAAAGTATACTACAACTTTGACCTTTCACGTAAGAGAATGTAAAGCAGCCCTTCTCGTTTTGTGAATGTTGTAAGAGTCAAGAAAGGGAATACCTGAAAGACCTTTCACATAACATGTAAACTGTAAGAGAAGTCCACTCTTCTTGTCTTGTGAGTGTCATAGCATCCAAGAAGGGGAATACCTAAAGGACCTTTCACATTACATGTAAATTGTAAGAGATTCCTTTAGCTCTTCTCGTCTTTTGAATGTCGTAAGACTGAACAAAGGGAATACCTGAAAGACCTTTCACATACCATGTAAATTGTAAGAGAATCCAACCCTTGTCTTGTGTGTCGTAGCAGCCAACAATGGGAATACCTAAAGGACCTTTCACATAACATGTTAATTCTAAGAGAAGCCAACTATTCTTGTCTTGTGAGTGTCATAGCAGCCAACAAGGGGAATATCTAAAGGACCTTTCACATAACATGTAAATTGTAAAGGAACCTTTAACTCTTCTCGTCATGTGCATGTCGTAAGAGTGAACAAAGGGAATACCTAAAGGACCTTTCACATAACACGTAAATTGTAAGAATCCTTCAGTCCTTGTCGTTTTGTGTAAATGTTGTGAGAATCAACAAAGGGTATACCTGAAAAGCCTTTCACTTAACATGTAAATTGTAAGAGCATCCATTAACCCTTCTCGTCTTGTGAGTGTTGTAAAAGTCAATAAAGAAAGCGCCTAAAAGATCTTTAAGGATCTCATACATCCCATAGTCGCCTCATATTGATGTAAATTACCCAGATTTTTTTAACTTATTATGTAGTAACCGGACGACTGCGCCTCGAAATTGTTTTCAAATTCCATGTGACTTAGAATTAAAATTTTCTCAGGAATGACAACTATATAGAAAGACTTTGAAAGTAAAACATTATCTAAATACAAAACCACTCAACCCTGAGATCTAATATGGAATGCCTTGTTTCCAATAAAAAGGGTCTCTGATTCTCTACACTCACAATATGAAACAGCAAAAGGTGTGAGAAAATCCACCTATCAAGCTGTTGGTATACATAGACTGGATATGTAATTTTTGTATATTATTATCCATATTTTATTTTCTAGCGAGGACAGTCTTCAGAAGAGGAACTAGAAGGTGGGGGTGAGGAGAGTCTAGGTGAAGGTGGTGATCGACCAGAGGTGCTACGAACACCCCTGACTGAACTTACTGGACATATAGGTGTGGTGGTAGCGGCGGATTGGTTGACTGGAGGTGACCACGTGATCACAGCCTCATGGGACAGAACTGCCAATTTGTATGATGTTGAAACTGGAGACTGCTTACAGATTCTCACAGGTGAGAGTACATAAATGATTTCCCTATAATGATACTTTCCATCATTACTTTACATTTTCACTGGCACTTAATTTTCTCTGTGACTAAATCCACAATAACACTGTTTTTTTAATTATCATAAATTATTGTTTCTCTTCCACCTTCAGGTAGTTAATCTAATAATCATTTTTTTATTTGAATTTAAAGTAAAAAAAATATTTTGATCAACGCGATTAAATTCGACACTGACTGACATAGCCTAATGAATCAGTAGGCTGAAATAATTCGGAAAATTGCTACGACCGATGGGCAAGAATAGATTTCGGTCCGATTTTGAAAGAATGCTAGTTTTCATCAGATCTCCACGTTTTGAGGTCCTAGGAAACCCCCCAACTATTTCCGGCTGGACGTCCGGCTGTGTGCGTGCGTGCGTGCGTGCGTGCGTGCGTGCTTGCGTGCTTGCGTGTGTGGATGTGTGTGTAAATAAAATGTTGTCGTACGATATCTTTAGAACGAATCAACCGATCGAGATGGGCGATACGATTTTCAAAAATTAAAAATCAAAACAACAAAAATTAAATAGATTTACGAGAGTTGCGCTTGAAAATAAGCGGAAAGTTCCAGGGATGGCCTGCAGGGCAAACCGTTTTTCAGATTTTTTTATAGAATAAGGTTGACAAACAAGCACAAAGTCCACCTGATGGTAAGTGGTTCCTGTGGCCCATAGACATCTACATCTATCCTCGTTTGCGAATCAAAATGCAGATGCGTTGTCACCCGTGAGGACTAAGATGGAATGCCTCTTTGCCAGTAAAAAGGGTCACCGGTTCTCTACACTCTCCATACGAAACAGCAGTGTTAAGCTGCTATTTAACGCTAATATTCTGTGAGAGTGTGGTCCTTCCCCGGTCGAGCCGACCCATTCGTTTTACAACTATATTACTAATATAGCTGCAGCATGGCTCTACCACGTATACATATTGAAAACCATTTATGCTTTTACCATAGTTCGGAAAAAAACCTCTGTCCTGGGAAAAACCGCATCCTAAAGAACACTGTAAAAACCCAACGGGACTATTACTAAAACATTAAAAATAATATATGGTGTACCATTGAATAAGAAAAAATTGATAGGTATAGACAAAGAGAATATAATCACTACGTTTAAGAGGCGGGACTTCCATAGTAAAAATAATTGCATGAAATTACGCCAAGTTACTCTACCAACATCAAGATATGACATTTAGTTTTGAGAAACAGTGCTGACAACATTGACGAATTACAATAGTGCTGTAAATGTCTATCATCGAATAATTTTATCGATATAACCTTTATTGATATATTGTTTATCGATATTTTTACATAAGAAAAGTTAGATCTCTATACTGAATTATTTATGAGAAATAAAATTTTTAACGTGTGGATTGAGTAAAAATGCCGAGGATAAGAAATCAGTGCATTTTACACACAGCAATTTGTATTTATATCTCTACAATCAGGTACAAAAGTATGTATAAAGAAAATATAAAATAGAAAACGCACTTTTATACTAGTAATTAATTAAGTAAAAAGTAAATAACTCCGTAGCGCAGTGGCTAAGCGTTTGGCTGCGGCATTGCAGTACCGAGGCTTCCTTCCCGCACTGAACAATTGTTGCTATGCTGAAAAATAAATAGTCTGCGTCTGGATGCTTGTTTTCAACGTTAGTTTTTTTAAGGGTAAAAATATTGGGTTTTTAATACTGATTTGATTAAATTGCTTTTATGTGTAACAAATACTATGTACAAATCGCTAGGCTTCTTCACAGAGGCACCTATGTACATACTATTCGCAGAGATCGTTTACTAATTGTCGCTTTCAAAATAAGTGCTCATTATAGCTAATGTTTATTGACGAATAAAATAATGATTTAGTTATATAATCTAATTCTTGCCAAAATGTGACTTTAGAGGGATATTATCTTTTGCTACATGTAAATGAAACCTAATTAACATACACATAAATTGTGGAAGTTTAAAGTAAGTCCACTGAAGAAATAACAGTTCGTTTTAGTTGGGTTCATATGCAATGTTTGTCACAAATATGTCTTAACATGTGAATTGTTTCAATTGGTGCATGTGCCAGCTATTTCACCCACTGCTTGCATCTGAAAAAATAATATAAATAAAATCACATTATTATTATTGAACAAATAGAATGTTAGCAGTCAGAATTGACTTGTAGTTTCTAAGTATAGTTCGTTTCGGATTGCCAAACCATCGAACCATCAGATTTAGGAAATAGTGTGTTTGTATTTGTGCACACAATCGTACACTATAAAAACATGTCCTACATAGATGGCTAGTCCAAAAATATACTCGCGTTGAATATCATATTACTATTAAAGTTGAAATCACTATATACCTTTCATCATCTAAGGGAAATATTGTTAGGAATAGCCTTTTCTTGTTATCATTTTTTCCGCGTCTTGCACCATTTAATTGGAAAGTTTTATAATGCATATTTAATTACTTAACAATTCTGTAAATGAACAACGACTCCTATAGCAAAATTAAAAGCAATCTTAATTAATAAAATATATACAAATATAATTGTTTGATTTGACATTTGAACCTATTTCATTTGACAATGTCGTTAATAGACATATCACGAAAAGCAGAAAGAAGAGTAACCGTCATTAAAATTTGACCCCTGTAGTACATATAATTTTTACTATGGAAGTTGCACCAGCCTGGGTATAGAATCGAACTATTACATTGACACTGGCCCGTGTAGTCCGGAGGTAAGGTATCATCATAACTAACAAAACGAACCCAAACTAGGTACACCTAGTACTACTCGTCGAGGAGTTCCAGTAGCAGTCATGAAAATGTAATGTATATACATAAAAACATAAATAGCTTTAATAAGAATAAGGATGTTCATACCTTAAACACTAGGAACAAACATAAGCTTATAATGCCAGTTACTAGACTCCACAGAATTAGTAATTCATTTATGGGGCAATATATACGCTTTTACAACAAAATCCCAGAACATGTTCAAAGTTTGTCAATAAACAAGTTTATAAGTTTTATTAAAGAAAAACTGTACAAAAAGGGTTATTATAATATCAAGGAATACATGAATGAAATAACCCCTGGGAATAAGGTGATCGCCACCATGCTGGTTTTATGAAAAATCATTTAAAAATTGTATAAACGAAATTATGTTTGGAAAAAAAAAGTCTCGCTGGTTTTCTTGCTGGTTCTTTCCAGGACAGAGGTATTTTCCGAACCAGTGGTAGATAAAAAATGACTTTCAATAAGCATTATGTAATAATCGATATTGAATAAAAAATTATTCTATTCTATTCTATTCTAGTCATCGAAGTACACTATCAGATCACTCCATTAAGACCAAGACGAATAGGCATTTATATAAGGTATAAACCTCACTTATAGCGAAACAAAATATTATAATAAAAATGTGTGATTATAAAAAAAATTATATTATTTTACCTTGTCAAGTACATATGTATCAAATTCGAATATTTTGTGTTTGTACAGCGATCTTTTTCAGCATGAGCTACTACAATCAGGCGATACAATAGCCACTCATGTCGGCGGCCGAGCGCGGAGCGCGGACTGTGGTTTCATCGAAATTTTTGTACAACAAATCAAAACAGGCACCAAAGATAAAATAACCCTAATTGCAATCGATTATGATTCATTCGTATTAATACAATATGTGAAAAAAATAAGCATCAGTTTTTATTTGTTTTACGGCTATTTGTCACATTTTGATAAAAAGTTAATATTATTTTTTTATTGAATATGTCTGCCTATTTATGGTATTTTTAGAAATCTTTAAATTAAAGTTGATAATAGAACAAAAAAAAATGTACCTAAACTCGAGCCGGTATCGTTAATTTTATAGAAAATGGCTAGGGAAGATCGTGTTTACAATATAAAAAACTATTATTTTCAACAAAAAAGTTTACTACCATTTGAAGATGAAGAACCAGTCTATGCT